ATGATGTTAAGGTTAGTCTACTCTAAGTGTGCTCTACTGTACATATTTTTTAAGGCCTTTTTGGAAGTGGATGGCTAATCCTTCTACCTAGTATATCTTAATTTGGATGCTTAGTTTTAGAATAATATCTGACAGACAAGCATTTTACTGATCAGATTAAAGACACAGAAATAACCAATACTGTGTGGATCACAAAAATTTGTGTCTAACCTGGAGGAAAATGGGAATCCCAGAACACGTGATTGTGCTTATGCGAAACCTATACTTGGACGGAAGCAATCCTCAGAACAGAGCAGGGAAACAGTGCATGGTTCAAAATCAGTAAAGGAATGTGTCATGGATGAATCCTGTCTCCATACCTTTTCAATATTTATGCCGAATAGATCATATGGGAAGAAGGGTTTTATGAGAGGGAATGTGGCATCAAGATTACACAATACATAAAGATTACACAATTTTGCTTGCTGAAACTGAAGACGACCTGAAGCGCTTGCTGCAGAAGGTCAGTTCAACATCAAGAAGACAAAGATTCCCACCACTCAGCCAATTGGCAGCACTATGACAGATGGAGAAGAAATTGAGGTGGTTAACAATTACAGTTTACTCAGCTCCATGATCAACATTCATAACACCAGCAGTCAGGAAATCAAAAGACTAATTGCATTGGGAAAATCTGCTGTCAGGGACCTCTCCAGAGTACTGAAAAGCAATGATGTTAGTCTAAAGTCTAAGGTGCATCTAATCCAGGCCATAGTCTTTGCAGTTACTTGCTATGCATCAGAGAGCTGGACAATGACTATGGATGACAGAAGAATTGATGCCTTCAAATGGTGGTGCTAGAGAAGAGTCTTGAACATACCATGGATTGTGAAGAAAACAAATTGGTCTGTTTTGGAGAGGGTGAAACCAACTTTTTCCTTGGAGGCTAGGATTTTGAAGCTCCATCTCACATACTCTGGGCATGTGGCCAGGACTGGTCCTTGGAGAAGTACATTGTGCTTGGAAGGGGGAAGCAACAACGCAAGTGAGGAAGACCCCAGATGAGATGGATTGATACAGTAACTGGAGCATTGGGGGTTGATGTGTTGGAATTTGTGACTGGCT